AAAAAAAAAAGACTAGCAACAGATGATAGCTCAGGGCGAATCTTCTTCAGCAAAAAAAAACATAAAATAAAAAGAATAAAAATGATGGGGATATGTCAAAAGGACATAGGCCCCAGCTTCAAGAAGCTCTCATCAGTCAAATCTGGGACAACTGGAAAATCAAAATAATAATTATCAGAAAGAATTAAAATTCATTACAGAAAATAAAATATGCATAAAGTATATAAGGAAGAAAGGAAAACTGTTCCTTTGCATAGAATGCCACCTGACAAATACATATGGACTACTGAGTTAGAAAATCACCATTAAGCAAACATCATAGTTAACTGATTCAGTCAAGAAAACACCCGTGGATCAGCACTTTTAGCTGAAAGTGTGGTGATGAATGAGGTATTTCCACAGTCTTAAAGTATCTTCTCACACATCACTTATTAATTACAATGGGGAAATAGTAACTTTCAATGGAGAAACTTGGCAGAGACCACTTTAACTAAATGATCAAAGACATCATCATCAATAATGGGACAAATACACATGACGTGCTGCCAAGTATGATGCACTTGAGAAGGACACAACATCACTTCTGTGGTATATCTGCCAAAAATGCATAACCTGAATCAATAATTAGGAAATATCAGGCAAACTCAAATTGAAGAAAGTCTGAATATTATCTGGCCTGAGCCCAAATTGAGGAAAGTCTGAAAATATCTGGCCTGAACATGTCAAATTTAAAGTCATTCAAGACTGAGGAAATGTTCCAGATTAAAGGAAATTTAAAAGACATGAGAACCAAATGCACATGTGATCCTAGATGCACTGAGTTACATAATAGTATTTTGTTAATAATGAATTTCTTAATTTTCATAATTGCACTGTGGTAATATAGGACAATGTCCTAATTCTTAGGACATACATACTAAAGTACTTCAAATAAAGAAGCATGATATCTGCAACTTATTCTTAAATGATTCAAGGAAAAAAAATTATATGTATATGTACATATATACATGTATATACAGTATATATACAATATACATATTGTAATTATACAATATGTGCTTGTATAGATATACACACACACACACATATATACATGGAAAAAGAGAGACAGTAAGCAGAAATAATAAAGCAAAAGAGGCAAAATGTAAACAACTAATGAATCTGGAGAGAGAGTATTCAGGGTTCTTAAGTACAATAACTGGAAATTTTCTGTATGTTTGAAACTATACCAAAAATAACTAGAGAAAAAAGGTAGAAATAAATAAACGTTTTACTTTCATTGAAATATTTTAGGATCACAGAAAAATAGTCAAACAGATAAGTCAATGAAGTATTTTTAAATCAAGAAAAAAATTAAGAAGTGAGAAAATAAATCAGGATCATTGCCCAATGTTTTGGACAACTAAAATAACAAAGCCAGATATACATATACATATATATATAAGTTCTCCTGTATTTTATATATTTATATATACTTTATATATTAAATAGGTATATATTTAAAATTTATATATGCATATCAAATATATAAAATACAGAAGAATGAAAATAAATGTGGAATCTAGCTCTAGATTTTTAAATAAATAATACAGACAATATTATATTCAGCAAATTTAGCAATGTAAAGTTAAATAATGAAATGATATTCACAAAAGTAATAAGTCATCAGCAATTAAAGGAAACAAAGAAAAAGTTATCAATGGAAGTGGTTTTTCTTTATATAACTGCTTTTCTAAATCAAAATTACCAAGCTCTTTTGTTAAAA